AAAGAGAGCAATGAGTCCTTGGAATTTTGTTGGAAAATGCTAACCTAAAGAGGCTCTAGGACCATACTATTATACTCATATCACTCAAAAGCATACGAAGGAACCAAAAAAGATGAAAAATTGGAGAGCCTCTTTAACACTTTGTATCAGTATCAGTTCGTCCCTTTACCAAAACAAAGTAAAACAAATAGTGATTACTATTTTTAAGAGAGTGCAATTAGCTGGGTTTGGGATTTGCTTTTACACTAACCAAGGTGAAGCAAATAAACTCCTAAAAAAAGCTACTCCATCTGTCTTTCTCACTAGAGTGCAACAGTCAAGATTGTATTTTTGGTCGGCAGGACAGTGATGTTTGAATTTTATTTGGAAAACTCACAGGTAACTTATTTTCAAATTATTTTCAAGCTTTAGTTTAGAACTTGTCTTGTTGTAATTTCATTCAATTGGTTACTTGTTGTCCATTAATTGACAGTCATTAGGCTATACACTCATTCTAGACACTATTAATGGAAGTTGGGAGATTCGAACTAAAGACTTTGGGTGCAAGAAAAAAAACTCTTAAACAACCGATGAAAATTATATCCTAGGTCTCATGCATATTAGTTGTTAGTTATTAATGGAGAGGGTATACTGTAACAACTAACAAGCTAGGAAAGGAGTATCCTCATTGTTTATAATCAATCGGAGCAAGAAGGAGATGAGAGCAGAAGAAGAAGAAAGAGAAAGAGAGAAAGGGAGAAAGACGACGGGTGCGTGGCTCGGAAATCCAAGCTTTTACTACGTAAAAATGGTGATGGCCACATCACATGTGATACAGTGGTAGGCGTGAAGATGTTCTCTCTGTTTCCATGGCAGCTTTCCCTTTTATTACGCCCTTTTCCTCTCTCTCTCTCTCTCTCTCTCTCTCTCATCAATCATATATACGGACCGACGCCTAGGCAGAAACTCAGACTTCAATCCATATATGCTTCCTAAAATTCTTGGATACAATACAAACCTCACGTTCTCCCACATGTGCTCAATCATATATATGTGTTAGATTCCTGTTCAGTTCTAGACAGAATCTCAATAGTAAATATATTACACAATTTGCAAGGATCGAACAAACATTATTCTTAGTCAGATAAAATAAGTATTAGTGTTAGATCGTCCTTCAAGATGTTTTTTCTTTAAATTTCTGTTATATTATATGTTGAATTTGGTTCGTCAAGTACATCATACACGTATGCACGTTACTGCAGATTTTTTATATGGCATTTAATGTATGTCTATAATACATAACACACTTATTAGAAGTTATCAGTGACATTATTAGATATTCTTAGAGTTGGGTCACTCACCGACTCCTAATCATATCAATATTGTCTCAACTTAATCACTTATTGCTAGATATTGAATTTTATCACAAAAAATCTCGTTGTTATTAAGAGTGAAACCATACATTTATATTGCATTTTATTTTCTCAAACCTAATGTAAAACTTATATTCATACACATCTCTTGGCGGGGATGGTATCATCGTCTTTGGTAAAGAAAAAAAACAAAATCTAATCTTATAGGCTACTGTGGAGCCAAAAATAATCAAGAAAATTATGGAGCCGATATGTGGACTTTTGGGTGAAAAAGACAAAATTACTCTCGAGGCAAACCATGATTCCTACGCGCATGCAACAAGCGATAACGGCTCAATCAAGGAAGAGTCAAAGGTGATCAAAATGATATTTATTCAAAACCCTCTCATCACTCCTCATCAAATCCTCACCCACAAAGTAACTCCCAATTATTCTATTTAAATTGGGATTGATTACCAAGTTAGTTGCAAGATATTATGTCACATAATATTTTGCAATTAACCTCATAAAACCACCATAAGTGGTCAGTCCCTATTCTCCAAATAGGGCCGGCCACACCCCTACATATAATCCCATTTTTTCTCCAAAAGCTAAGTTCATTCTCTCCCTAAAAATCCCTAAACACTTTCTCTCTAAAATTCTAACTCTGGCATAGGAGATTCTTAGGCCAAAGCCCCCCATTCATCTTGGGTGCATGAGGCTTGTGGGCGCGTGAGACTCTAGGTCTTAATCTTAGGTGTTATTTTTTTAAAAGTACATTTTCGTCAAAGGGGAAGAAGGCGGAAACTTGCATCCATAGCTACGCTTTGTAAAAAAATTCAGCTTTTGAAATCTTGATGTAATGTAAATGACTCTAAAGTTTGTTGCAAGTATTATTGTATTCATGATTGATAATAGAGAGAAATAAAGGATTTGGAAAACACGCAAATAACCTTGTTGATAAGGTAATCCTAAGAGAAGATCGAGAGCAGTTTCTTTTGCCAATTATCATGAGTCAAGAGGAATGAACCAATGCGCAGGATGACACAGAGCACAATTATTTTGTTAATAAATTGGTGATTGATTGATTGATGTCTTACTCCTTGCATTTTACTTTGATCATTACATCATCTATACAATAGAAATTTAATAAAATAAAAAAAAACTTTTAATGTAGTTTCTAACCACCAATGCTATTTGCAATCTTATTGGTTTTTAACTTTTTATCAAAGAATTTGATATTAATGTATTTGCATGTCAATTATTATATTTTTAACTTAAAATTTAAAATTTCTAGTTGCCTATGTTAATGATTTTAAATAAATTCATTATTGTGGGATTGAAAAGATTAAAAGATAAATTATACTCCTCACCTCGTTAATAAAAATTCAAACTCGATAGAAAATCATGTTTTTCCATAAAAATAAATACATATATATATATATATATAAACATATTTTATACATACATACATACATACATACATACATACATACACACATACATACACACATACATACATATAAACGTGGGCACATACATCAATATTAATTAAAAATATTATTGTACATCAATATCAATTAAAATTATTAATTGTACCATAAAACATTTGGTAGATTCTTCATACTCAAAACATGGGTTCAGTCTTCTAAACCACACAACAAAAAATTAATAATCTAAGCTTAATAACATTAGTAAAGTTTTTCGAATGCACTTGATATGGATACATTCTCAAATCAATGAAAAAAAATGTACACCTATAAGTTTAAAAGATGGATTATAAAAGAATTGAATGAATTTTACATAAAAAAAAGGATACACTTTACACTTAAAAACAATTGGTATATGTTGGAACCAAATTCGCGCGGATGGAGGCAAAACTTGGTCGGAATTCTCCATGATCTATGGCGAGGGGAGAATGGGGTTGATTGGCGGGTCTGTTTGAATCCGGATAGGGTTGCCTACATATCTGCCTACATATCTCCAGGAAAGAGAATTAAACCACTGGTGTGATGTGCAATACATTGTGAATCATCTGTGACGATTAGTCTATGACAGGGCGTAAAGGCGATGGGTTCTCTATGAACACGTGTCTATATATGCATAGATGGTGGCGTGTATACATGATGAGTCTCTGTTAGGTGTAGAGAGAATAGGTGTGTAGTAGTCTTGTAGAGAAGATAATGAATCACCGAAGGTAAATTACATCACACTGTTTAGGTTTAAGCTCAATGAATCTATTCTAACGTGATTTTCATACTTTTGTTTTTTCCTTCTACACTTTTTTGTTTGTTTTGTTTTCTTTAACTTATTCAATCCAATGATTAAGAAATTAAAATGAGATGAGTGCATAGAGAGACAAGAAATTACGAAATGACTTCACTGGTTATTGATATTATTACGTATAGAAAACAATAAACATTTTGTCCTATTGATACCATAGTTAGTAAATTCTGTATTATACACGCATGTACATATTTTTTAAAAATACTTTGGTTATCCTAGTTCGGTAAAAAATGGGTTGGATTTCAGTGTAAAGGCATTGGATATGAAGCTTGATGCTCTAGTTCGGGGAAGGAGGGGGAAGAGGGAGGATATTGAAGAGGACGGGGGAAGAGGGTGCCGGAAAGAGGGAGGGGGAGGACAAAATAATTTTTAATTTTTAAATATTTTATTGGCCCATATTGACATGTGACTTCTACTCATTGTTCACGTGAGTGTCACATCATCATTTAACAGAGGTTTTGACGGAAAATTTAACGAGTGTATAAAAATGTTCCAAATTATAACCTTAGATACCAAACTGGGACGAAAAAAACTTTGATGTATAAAATATTGAAAACTAAAAAACTTTAAAGTAGTAAACTGAACCCTAAAAAATACGTCCATCGACAGTGCATTAAGTTTTTCTTAATTAGAGATTCTTTTGTAGGTGCCGTCCTTCCTCACTGTGGGTTAATGTTTTCTCCAACGGTTCGATTTGGTACGTGGAGCCCATTAGAAACCACGTGAGTCCACTTGATTAAGAATGAAAATAGCCGTTCTCCAAGTGTTGCATGCATGGATTTGAAAAGCTGTCGCGTGAGCCAAAAGACACTAGTAGTAGAAGTTAATTACTTAAAACAACACTCCAACTTTTGGATTTTGCAACCTAATTAATTTCAATGTGTAGTTTATATATAATTTACACGACTCAGCTGAAACGTCACGCATGGATCATATCATAACCACCAATCAGTAGCTGCCACCCTGTGATAATTTACCAGAAATACTGTAAATATTCAACAAGTTATGTTAAAATACTAGGCAGTCCACATATACAACAGATGGCAAAACTTTGTTCAAGTCACCCCCACAAGAAGGTTAATTAAACTAATGACGCAGGAAGATTACAGTTCTATCTTTTCTGCTGTCATTTTACTTTTGTCCGACGCTAGCTACCATGAAACTCAGGTGAATCAATACGGTAATGCCGAAAAAAAAGAAACAAAACCAAATATTATTTTGATTTACTTTGACATTGACGAAATGAAAAGGACAATATGGGCATGCAGGCTTGAGTTGTTAAGTCGCTGACTATAAAAGGCCAGCACCAGTAGAGATTAACTAAGACACTTATTAAATTACTTTACTAATTATAGTTGTGCTTGCTTTAGTAGCAAATTAAAGATGGAATCACAAACACCAGCGCCAGCACTCCTTTCTGTCAGAGCTTCCCAGTTTGTCATTCTTGGGCTGAGGGTCCTCACCTCCATTTTTCTAGTTGTGTCACTCGCCATCCTCCTCTCCAATGTTTTGTCTGGAGATCGAGATCACAAAGTACACTTTTATGATTTCGTGCCATACCGGTATGCATGCATTTCTAGCAATTAATTTAGTTCATAGTCCAATGTATGATACAAGTTGGTATATTTTAGGGCCGGTTTGAGAATGTTTTTGTAGGAAGCAATTCTGTTTATTGGCGTTTTCGTTGAAAATGTTTTTTGAAGATAGTTGTTTTCCCATAAAACACTGGAAAATGCTTGCTATTGATAACCACTTTTAAATTTTTTTCTCCCAAGTTATCAAAACCCGTTTACGTTATCAGAAAGCCCTTTTAGCCCTTCTGAAAAGGAGAGGGATTAGTAACTACTATTGACAATCCCATTTTGAGTCTTTGACAACTTCTGTAAATTTTTCTCTCTTTATATTAGTATTTAGTTTTCAAACTAATCGTACTTTTTCTTTTCATTTGTTCTGTGATTAATTGCAGATACATGGCTGCAGCAATTGTTATTGGAATTGCATATTCACTCTTCCAAACTGCAGTTACAGTTATCCGCATAAGAAGAGAAAATCATAGGAGCATCTTACTCGACTTCTACGGTGACAAGGTACATACAACGGAAAACGCGCAGGAAATTCCAATTTAGTTGTATTGGCGCCCTTGACGATCAAATTTTTATACTTTCGTATAAAAAGTATTAATTTGTTCAACCTTTTGAAATTGTTCTGTCCTTGTATATAAATCATTAATTGCTGCCACTACTAGTGAATGGAAGCTCTTTGAATGTGATAAAAAATAAATCAAACTAACTTGTGCAGGTTATATCAAATGTAGTAGCAACTGGAGCTGTTGCAGGATTTGTTATGACCGCACAAGTACAGAAAGACTGGAGCGAGTTAGTAGGTATTGACGCTTACGACAAATATATCAAAAGGTCACATGCAGCAGATGGACTTGTCTTGCTTGCCTTCGTCTGCACTTTCATGTTATCCGTCCTCTCTTCCTATGCACTCCCGAAGAAGGTTTACTAGAATTAGATTTTGCAGCAGCATCATCAACGGCTGTCCAATATTACAAACCGTATAATTTAATATTTTAATATATAATCAAAATTATAACATTATAATTAATTATAGTACGGTTATAAATTTGCTATTTTAAAGTCTTGCCTTTTATTTTATGTTCTCCCACTTGTATGTGTAAATCATGATCGAGCTAATTAATTAAAAGTGATGTTAGTTTCTCTAAGAGTTAGCTTTCATCACATGAAAAATTTGAAGGGATAGTGGTTCGGGACGGGATCCCGAACCGAAAAGCACAAACTGATTCCCAAATTGACCTCTTTCGGGACAAGATTTTGAAAACCAAAACCGAACCGAAATTCAGTATGTTCCTGAAAAATTTTCAGTATTTCGGTATGTTTTGGGATCCCAAATCAAAGCAAAACAAAGATAGATCCCCAAATCCCCAATTTGTAAATCCCTAATTCGAGCCCTAATTCAAAAACAAGTTACCCTTAGTCCTTAAGCTTCCTCCAAATCCCCAGTCTGTAGCACTTGCACCACAAATTCCAACTCTTTAAGGGAATAGAATATGACTTACTTTTTAAATTGTTAGAACAATTGGGAACTGGAAGGCATGACAGAACCTGCATAAAGCATTACCATGTGGCTGAAAGGAGAGTCGAGAGGTGGTGAGTCGAGTGTTGGTGGCGGAACGACCAAGAGAAAGAGAGAGTTTGAGAGAGAAGATGCAACTGAGTGAAAATTGAAATCGAGAGGAGAGAGATGAAATAGCATAAATGGAAAGATGGTTAGTGGCTAGGGTTAATGAAAAATTAAGCATGAGTAACTAATAGTTATTAAGTGTATAAAAATATTTGCTTAAAATTTCAGAAGTTGAGAGTTGGCTCAGTGGTGAAGGTCCTTGATTTTCCAAGGGGAGATCAAGGGTTCGATTTCTTACGGCCTCGTTTTTGAGGTACTTATCTAAATGTCGGTTCGGTTCGGGTAAAACCAAACTGGACTGTTTGTGATAGTAGCCGAACTAAAAATGTTCAAAAATCGAAAATTTCGGGAAATTTTGGGTCGATTTTGGTTCGGGTTCGGTCAGGATAGAGATTTTTGTGAATTTTTTTCAGCCCTAGGCCCCTAGATGTGAGGATTGGTAATTTACATATATATATATATATATATATATATATCTTTATTTTGTGGTACTATTATATTTATTAATGGATAATGCTAGTAATGCCAAATTTGTAAACCAAATGATATGTTATCAGTAGGAAATAAGAACGTTAATCAACACTATAATCTAAGTGTAATGCTGGGGGGAAACCAAACTTTTAAACCAAATGATTTAAAATTTTGGTCTCTCTAGCATTTGGTTTAAAATTTTGATCCCCCTAACATTTGGTTTACAAAATGTAGTTTAGAAATTTGATCTCTCTAACATTACTCTTTATTAATTTGTAAGTCAGCAATTAATTTAATCCAAAAGACAAAGGTCGAAGAACTTTGACATTCTTTTGTATTATTTATAATTTTGAATTAATCTAAATGGAAATTTTATTAGCACTAAAAAACAAAAAAAATTGTTGTGCACTCTCTGTGTTATACAAAAGGGAAGTGATTTTCGACTAATTCTATTTTCTCCATGTGCACTCCTAAATCAAATGAGAATTAAAAGACAAAAGTAAGAAAACACGAGTGCAGGAAAAAAAAAAAAAAAAAAAAAGCCTAAAAATCACTACCCTTATATAAACACAAAGAAGGAAAAAAAAAAAAAAATTGAAAGTCTTGGGTCCGCTAATATGGTAGATGAGTAGCAGCTCCTAATTCTTTATGCTATATTGGGGAACAAATTAAACTCATGATTTGTCTTAAAACAGAAACGATTGCAATGCAGACACAGGGGCCTAATCAATCTGTCTTGTTTCTAAAAATTAAAAGTGTATTTCATCTATGGCCAAGAAATCGGAACAAACTTTGGTTCCAAAGGCCAGGACCCGGCACGCAGACACAGAGACCTTGATGGTGCTGAGGGAGCAACGATGGGAACATTAATGCTTTCCTCCAAAGCTGCCCGGATTATTACTCTTGTATTCAGGGTCCTGACCCTCGTCATACTGGTTACGTCTTTCATGCTCCTTGCCACCATTACTCAGGAAGTATACAAGCTCAACATTCACAGAGAGGTTCAGGGAACTTGGACGATGCGCTGTTATCATGTAGTTCCTTATCGGTATGTTTGGAGTACTCTTTTATTCAATCACCTTTATCTTTCATGATGAGCAACTTATAATATCATGCATACATTATTCTTAACGGGAAGCCATTTTTGCACATTATTCTTCACATTTTGCACACCTCTCTTAATTCTGAACATTGATTCTCTTTAAATTTGTTCAATTTAATAGCTAAAAAAACGAAGAAGTATGCAGAGATCATATCCCTTCCTAATTTCATAGACAAAACTAATCAGTTTTAATTTATTAATTGCAGACACACGGGTGCAACGGTTGTAATTGCAGACAAAACTAGAGGCCAATTATAATAAGCTCAGTAGGTTAGATGGAAGCGACGTAGCATTTTATTAGATGTTTATGCCGCACACGCATAACTTCTTAGTCCTGCGGCTCGTGCTCTACTCCGTCTTGTGCAACTACTGGGGAGGAAAGTATAGACAGTTATATTTTTTTCAATATAGAATGTGTAACCTATCTCATCGTTTTTCGGTAGCATACAGTATTTGACATGATGACGAGTTTATGCTGCCCTAACATAGGACCTATGATATGTGTTTTCTAATTCCGCATCAATTTTCAGATACAAAATATTTAATAGAACGGATATATAGTGATCCTTCTGTTCTGAATTATATGAAGCTGTGGCCATTCAAGGTCACTGAAGGTCCTGCTGAGAAGCTCATGTTTGTGGTTACACATGAAGGTCAATAAGAAACAGTTTCTTCCTGAAGAAATATCATCCATGGTTATGGGAAAGATGCGGGAGATTGCTGAGGTCTCGACTCAACTGTGGAGTGCTGTGATCAAAGTTTCTGCTTACTTCACTGACTCGCAGCGTCAGGCTACAAAAGATGCTGATACCACGGTTGGCCTAAATGTCATCCGATCATCAAAGAACCAACTGTTTGGACTTGACAAGAAGGCCGGCTGGTATAGCAAGAGAAACGTCATGATTTTTTATTTTGGTGGTGGTACTTTAGATGTGTCTCTACTTACTATAGGGAATGGGGTGTTTGAAGTGAAGGCCACCGCTGAAGACACTCACCCTTGGAGGTGAAGATATTGATAATATAATGGTGATTTACTCTGATGAGGAGTTTACGAGGAAGCATGGTTTGGCATCAGTGGAAACTCGAGAGCACTTGAGAGGTTAAAAAATGCTTGTGAGAAGGCAAAGAGGAGACTCATTTACGTCTTTTGTAGAAGATGAAATTGATTGTTTGTATCAAGCTATGGATTTCTATATAAATATCACCCGTGCCAAATTTTAACGACTGAACATGGATATCTTGAAGAGTATAGATCCTGTGGAGAAGTGTTTGAGGGATGCTAAAATGGACATAACCAGTGTCCATGACGTTGTTGTTTCTGGTGGCTCTTCTAGAATTCCCAAATGCAGCAGCTTTTACAGGAGGTTTTCAAGGGAAAGGAGCTTTTCAAGGGCATCAATCCAGATGAAGCGGTGGCCTATAGTGCCGGTGTTCATGCCGCTGTCTTGTGTGGGAATGGAACTGGGAAGCTTCAAGACTTCACTCTATTGGATGCCACCCCTTTAACATTTGGGGTGGAGACTTTAGGAGAACATTTCATGGGAGTTGTTATTCCAAGAAGCATGAGAGTTCCCATGGAGAAGAAGACGACTTTAGTTACTATCTGTGATAACCAACGTACCATCACCTTCCCCACTTATGAGGGCGAGAGCAAAACAACTTTGATAATAACTACTTGGATGAATTTAAACTCCATGACATTCCTCCAGCCCCCAAGGATGTTCCTAAACTTGACGTTTGCTTTGAAATTGATGCAAATGGTGTCCTGGCTGTCTCTGCTTTGGACACGCCCACTGGCCAAAAAAGAAACTAAGGGATTACAATCAATAGTGACAGAAGAACTTTTGAAGGAATTGAGAAGCTGAGGTGAGAAATGATAACTTGTGTTATACTAGGGCGGAAGTATCAGATAGTTTCTAACCAATTTGAAAGTTACTAATGCCAGGTGAGCCGAAGCCTCTATCATCCGCAGGTTGTATTGCTTTGAGCTGAATCAAAATTGGAGGAAGGAGGCCGTTGATAGGAAAATGTTTGCTAACTGGTCGTGCTTTATGACATTGATATGATATGCTGGTTATTTTGACAGAGATAAAATTGTTCTTTCTGTCCTGTTTGCTCCAACTCATGAAAATGCTCGTTCCTTTATAAGATCTGCATTACTCTTTTTTAATATGTTGTAATTCAAACTCCAAGTTGTTTGTTTCAAACTCCATGTTGTAATTCTTCTGAGCCATGGCAATGGCCTTGGCCAGTGTGCAGAGGAACCCTTTGGCGTGGCTCAAATCTAAGGTGACATTGACGGCTGAGTGTAAGGGATTGATTGGAGGAACGGCTTTGTGGAGGATGAACAGGATTCAGAGAGAGAGCGAGAGAGAGATGCATAGTTTTCGGTAATGACACTTGTGCACAATTAGAAAAGGTGTAATACACTTTAGCCACTGTGCTAGAGTGACTGAAAGGCGTATAGTGACAGAATTCGGAATAGTTACAAGTTACAACACCATTTCCTTGTTACATTTCCTTATCGGTCTTTTTTTTCAAACCTTGCATCAATATTCTTCAGATGCGAAAAAGTTAATTAGTACGAGTTTCAGGGATGAATGTGTTCAAAATGATATGAAGCATTGGCAATTCAAGGTCTCCTTCTAATAAGCCAATAGCCGTTGTCAACCACAACGGTGTAGAGAAGCAATTTCTTGCTGAAGAAAATTTATCTACGGTTCTTGTAAAAATGCAGGATATTGCTGAGGCCTACCTTGGTTCAACTGTGAAAAACTCAGTTATAACAGCGACAGGCTACAAAAAAGGCAGGTGCCTCTGCTGGCCTAAATGTAATGCGTAATCATCAGTGAGCCGACTGCTGCAGCGATTGCTTATGGACTTGGCAAGAAGTCTGGCTGGTATATATAGGAAAAGAAATGTGATGATATTTGAATTGGGTTGTGGTACTTTGGCCGTTTCACTACTAACCATAGTGTATAGCGTTTGTGAAGTAAAGGTCACTGCTGGAGACATACTCATCTCCGATGTGAAGGCTTTGATAAGAAAATAGTGAATAATTGTGCTGAACACACAAAAGGAAATATAAAGTCGACATTAGTGGAAAATGCATGTGGGAAGGCAAAGAGGAGGCTTTGATATATGCTTGAGACTGACATTGACATTGTTGGAGGGGAAGGAGCTGTGGAAGGGCATTTATCCAGATGAAGCTGTGGCATATGGTTCAGCTGTTCAAGCTGCCATGTTGAGTGAGAAAAATGAAAATGGGAAGCTTCAAGACTTCGCACTCTTGGATGTCATCCCTCTATTACTTGGGATGGAGACAACTCAGACAAGGTGGGAAAGTGGTTCTGACGATAAACATTTCATGCTAGTTGTGATCCCAAGAAACACCAGAGTTCCGATAAAAGAGAACGTTACTTTGTTTACTTCGGTTGACAACCAAGCTGTGGCCAGATTTTCAATTTATGAGGGCGAGAGTTCATCAACCTTAAATAATTACCATTTTGGGTGGATTTCACATCCATGACATTCCTCCTGCTCCTGCCAGGGCTGCTAAATTCAAACTTTGCTTTGATATTGATGAAAATGGTATCCTGAGTGTCTCTGCGGAGGACATGTCCACCGACCAAAAGAAGGTGATTACTTTCAACCGCGACAGAAGAACTTGTGAGGGAATTGAGACATTGATACAAAAGTCGGTTGACTGCTGTAAGAAACGTTCATTTCTAATTTCCCCATCATGCTTCAGACTGAATAGACATTGGATTACAGGGGAAGCGTATTTTCTATGGTCGAGCTTAGCACTTATGCTCTGGTGATCTCATCCAACCTCTCTGTTATTCCGTTATGATAGAGCCGTTGGAACAATAACAGAAAGTATGAGAATAATAAAATAATTTTAATAATGATAATCATGATGAAATCACAACGCTAATTTTTTTTTTTTTTTTTTTTTTTTGAACCACAACGCTAATTGTGAACAAGATTATTGTAAACAACTAGAGAGAAAGTAAGAATGACTACAAACTTGGAGATTGAGGCTTGCGCAAATGCAATGTCTTAAAGACAAAATTTCGCTCGTGCTTGTAGTTCAGTAGGCGTCCAGCTCCTAGAATTCAAGAATCTATAATACGAGTCGAAGCACTGCAATTTTCGGACTCTCAAGACACGACTGGAATTTGACAAAGAAAGAATGAGAAAAACAGAATTGGGAAACTACTTCTCTTGATGCATATCTCACTGCTATACTGACTTGGGTTAAGAATTTTTCATTCTAACAAGAGCTTCTCATCCATCCTCCTGATTTCAACTTGGGAATTGCAACTTCATGCTATGTTGTTTGTGTAACATATGAACTAGTAAATATACATGTGACTGGGCATAAAACCACAGTTGTTCTATCATTTCTCAACTGGTAGGTTATAATGTTCCTCTGCACGCTCCGGTAAAGCTTATTTTTCTGTCTACCAATTTTCCAAAGCTGCTTTAAACAGTCATCGAATAAGAAGAATTCTCGGAGGAGTACGTAGCTACTGAGATCTGTGCTAGGTTTCTATGTGCAACACTGCAAGTCCACTTCCACTTTCTGTATGTGTAACTAATTTGCCGTTTTGTTTTCTGTTCATAGTTCAGTACACAAATAAATATTAAACTCTGTATACTAGCTATCATCTGTCGCAGTTTTGTAGAACTAAATAAAGTTTTCTCATATAAAAAAGAAGGTAAAGTTATAAGGTAGTAAAGGTAGTAAAGAAGGTAAAGTTGGAAATGTAGTAAATTGAAGAATTACGAGTGTACTTGTAATTCTTTGAAGAATCAATAGTCTGGAATCCATCAGATTTGAGGGAAATCCTGAAGGTTGTGTTTGATTAATTGATTTAAAGATGATTACAATGGAAGCAGCTAATGGCTTAAATAATCTAATTACCACTCCTAGGACAACTCAAGGTATGAGGTAATTAAGTGAAAGTCTAACGACCTTAATTAGACGACAAACGAAAAGTTCAATTTTTATTACAAAACTTAAAACATAATTTTGAACTGCGACGTTCTTTTCTTTCCAAAACGGTATCATGCACCCAAATTGGAGCTCATATGCCAAAATTGCAAATTCCCGCTACGTCTCTTTGTCTTCCATCGGTCCATTTTCTCTTCAATCCACTCGATCATTTGTTCTACATCATAAAGCTATAAGGTAGTAAAGAAAGAAAGAAGGTAAAGGTAGTAAGAGTAATGCACACTTACATATTTGTACCATCTTCCTAATAGAGGAAGGGATCACCTATCTATTAGAGAGATGATACAAATGTGGTATGAAAAATATGATAAGAGTAACATCCTTTACATAGTAAGGGTAGTAAAGTTGGAAAGGCATTGCACGCCAAAAGGTTTCAAAATTTGTGCTTTGGTTGATATACTTTAACTTTTTAATGTGCTTGTAATACGGGGTGGTACATCACATGTCATTATTTATGTGGAGACACTAAAAATAAAATGTCTTTCCACATATATGATGATGTGGTGTATAACCCTGTATTTCGGGCACACTAAAAATTAATTTGGCATAAACAGCCAACAGAAAATAAAATTTGGGGACATATTGGATTCCAAGGTTTTTTGCACAAGAAGTTAGATAAGCAAAACATAAATGATTGTTCGTTCCCAAGCAGAACATAAATGAAGAAGATTACTTAATGAAGAAGATTACAACTTACTATTCATTGCTTCTTTATATTTGGAACTTAATGAACAAAAAGTGTCCAAAAGAAAAAGGATAATGAACCAAAAAGTGTCCAAAAGAAAAAGGATAACCTCTCAGACCGCTCTATGTTCCCCATAATATCTTCTACTTTCAAGCATATATATTATCTTGATCTTCTTTCTCTGCTTCCATTCATTTCTCTTCTTAGTACTATTCTTCTTCCAGTTTCTCAACTTAGAATGGCGGGAAAAGACGAAGCTGCAGGTCATGCAATCGGGATCGACCTGGGGACAACCTACTCGTGTGTGGCGGTGTGGCGGTATGATCATGTAGAAATCATAGTGAACGATCAGGGCAACAGGACGACTCCATCTTATGTTGCTTTCACCAATACTGAGCGATTGATAGGTGATGGTGCATTCAACCAGGTCATAAAAAACCCAACCAACACCATCTTCGGTATGTTCATCTCTTCCTGTATGTATCCATCTACATATATACCATTTTCCCATTAATTTATTTTTCAAATTAGTTTTTCTTTTTCTCTGAGTATTTATAACAGTATTTGAAGTTATAAAATGTGGGGTGTTGATGATAAGTTATAATTTAGATAATGATTTTGATGATAATTAAAAAGGTGTAGTACATTTACGGTAGAGTGAAAGAATTTGGGATGGTTACAACACCGTTTGTTGAACAATATGCTTTTATTTCAATCATATGACCTATTTCTTTGTTAGTTTTGGTTGTGTTTCTAATTCTGTCCTCAATTTGCAGACGCGAAAAGGATAATCGGTAGGAGGTTCACAGATGAATGTGTTCAAAACGATATAAAGCATTGGCCTTTTAAGGTCATTGGAGGTCCTTCTGACAAGCCAATGATTGTCGTCGCATACAAGGGTGTAGAGAAACAATTTGCTGCTGAAGAAATCTCATCTATGATTCTTGTGAAAATGCGGGAGATTGCTGAGGCTTACCTTGGTTCAACTGTGAAAAATTCAGTTATCACAGTCCCTGCTTACTTTACCGACTCACAGCGACAGGCTACGAAAGAGGCAGGTGCTAGTGCTGGCCTAAATGTGATGCGCATCATCAATGAGCCAACTGCTGCAGCCATTGCTTATGGGCTTGACTGGAAGGCCGGTTGGTATAGCAAGAGAAATGTGATGATATTTGATTTGGGGGGGGGAACCTTGGATGTTTCGCTACTTACCATAGCTGACAGTGTCTTTGAAGTGAAGGCCACCGCTGGAGACACTCATCTTGGAGGTGAAGATTTCGATAACAGAATGGTCAACCACTGTGCTGAGCAATTCAAGAGGAAGTATAACGTGGACGTTGGTGGAAACTTCAAGGCTCTTAGGAGGTTAAAAAATGCATGTGAGAAGGCAAAGAGGAGGCTTTCATTTATGTCCGAGACTGACATTGACATTGACTGTTTGCATCAGGGTGTTGATTTTTGTTTAACTATTACCCGTGCTAAATTTGAGCAACTCAACATGGATTTCTTCAGCAAGTGCATGGAGCCTGTGAAGAAGTGTCTGGAAGATGCTAACATGGACATAAGCAGCGTCCATGATGTTGTTCTTGCTGGTGGCTCTTCTAGAATTCCCAAGGTGCAGCAGCTTTTGCAGGACGTTTTCAAGGGAAAGGAGCTTTGCAAGGGCATCAATCCGGATGAGGCAGTGGCCTATGGTGCCGCTGTTCAAGCTACTGTCTTGAGTGGTGGCAATCTAACTGGAAAGCTTGGGGACTTCGCACTGGTGGATGTCACCCCTCTCTCACTTGGGGTGGAGGCTTATTGTGAACTTCAAGAAGATATCATGATGTCAGTTGTGATTCCAAGAAACACTAGAATACCTGTCAAAATAATCAAAAAAGGTTTTTCTACGCGCTTTGACAACCAACAGAATGTTAGGTGTCCCGTTTATGAGGGTGAGAGTAGAATGGCAAGAGATAATAACCATTTGGGAGAATTTGAACTCAATGACATTCCTCCAGCTCCCAGGCATGTTCCTAAATTTGATGTTTGCTTTGAGATTGATGAAAATGGCATCCTGCATGTCTCTGCTGAGGATACGTCCACCGGCCAAAAGAAGGGTCTCACATTCAACTGTGACAGAAGAACTTGTGAAGGAATCGAGGCAGTGATTTAAAAGTCAGTTGACTTTAATTAGGACTGGTCTTTACTTGAATTATGGCTAAATCAGACATGAATAGAACATTGGATTCCAGGGGAAACATAATTTCTATGACGATGTTCTCTATTTACTCCATACGCGCACTCACATTGAGCTCTGTTAATGCGTTATTTCTCATCATCATTCATCCTCCTGACTCTTACATATAAAACTGGATGAACCTTTAACAAACAATGAACCAATAAATCTCGACACTGATTGCATTCCGCTGGGGGACATCCAGCTGCTAAAAATAAACATTTTTAAGCCTACCTGCATTCCGATCGGTTGTTCTTCTTTGAGTTTTCACGCTGAGAATGTCAAGAAGAAGAAGAATTCTCCCAATCTTCCAAAGCTGCCTTACGAAGTCATCTAAGCTGAAGAATTCTCGGACGAGTACTTTATTTAGCTACCGAGATCTGTGCTAGGTTTCTATGTGCAAGTCCATTTCCACTCTCAATACGTGCAACTAATTTGCCGTTTTGTTTCCTGTTCATAGCTCAGTACACAGATAAATGCTGAGTTTAATTTAAATATAAAGTTGTAAAGTTATCTCAGAAAAAATATAACAAAGAAGGTAAAGTTAAAAGGTAGTAAAGGTCAAGTTAAAAAGTAATAAACGTGGATTAATTGTAACGGTTTAAATATGATATAAAAAATTTGTATTATTTATAAATGTTTGTTAATTATAAATTCAAAATTAGGATATAAAAAATAATAATAAAATTTTTTAAAAAACGTATAAGAAAAGATTAAAATTTCTCCTTTTTTACCTTTTGTTGACCGGTATCACCATTCTCTTTTTTACCTTTGCGAAGCCACAATTTCTATCCCAATATGCGGCTTGAACAACCTGGACGCACCCGGGCCTCGCAGAACGTGGTGGGCAACGTCAACTTATCAATCGAAGGGACCTCCGATGTCTGTAACGGCGCGGCGAGACGGACAGGGGTTCAGGCGGTCGAAAGAGAATCGTGCGGAATGGGTGGAGGGGGCGACGTTGAGGCGCCCGAGGAGGAGCGAAGGCGGAATCCGGCCGGTTACGCCGTTGATGGCGAAGTCTGAAGATTGAAGGTGTGAATCCATATCGAATAGGTCGCCTGCAAAAAAAAATTCTGTGTTTTTTTTCTTTCCATTTATTTTTTTTCCTTGGGGGAGAGGAGTAGAGCGGAGAACTACTCGTGTGAGGGAGTGGGTTGTGGTTTTGGTGGTGAAGGGAGGGCGGACGGCCGGAGGGCTGAAGGAGGGTGACGATGAATCGAACTGGAGAACTCATTGCCGCCCCTTTTATTCTGGGTTTTTTCTCTTTCAAAATTTTATTTTCTTCTCAGGAGAGAGTAGGAGAGTAGATAACCACCCGTGTGGGGGAGTGGGTTGTGGTTTTGGTGGTGAAGGGAGGGGGGGGACAGACGGAGGGCCGAAGGAGGTAGGGGATGAATTGCATAAATTGCTCAACAAAGCAGATGAAGTTCTGCGATTGTTTTTGTTTTTATTTTTTTTAAGTTCTAAAATAAAAATACTTTTAATTACTTAAATGGATTTTTTCAACTTTTTTTTTGTGGGCCTTATAACTGTTATATCAACATTTAATAGAAAAATTAATGGAAAAGTTGACGAAAGTTTGACATTGTAAATTAATTGTAAGTTAATGTATGACATTGTAATATTTAAAAATTTTGATATGCGATTGTGATGCGATCCATAATTGAGATAATTGTTTGTAATTTACCTTATTTCTAATTTTGAATGAATCTAAACCAAAATTTTGTTGGCACTCTATAAAAAAAAATTATCGTGTATTAGGAAGGAAAGTGATTTTTGACTAGTTTTATTTTCTTCATGGACACTCCTAAATCAAATAAGAATCAAGAGACAAAAGTATAAAAATACGAGAGCAGGAAAAAAAAAAAAAATCAAAACAAGAACCTAAAAATCACTACCCTTATATAAACACAAAGAAAAAAAAAAGTTGAAAGTCATGGGTCCGCTAATATGGTACATGAGTAGCAGCTCCTAATTCTTTATGCTATTTTGGGGAACAAATTAAACTCATGATTTCTCTTAAAACAGAAACGATGGCAATGCAGACACAGGGTCCTAATCAATCTGTCTTGTTTCTAAAAATTAAAAGTGTATTTCATCTATGGACAAGAAATCGGAACAAACTTTGGTTCCAAAGGCCAGGACCCGGCACGCAGACACAGAGACCTTGATGGTGCTGAGGAAGCAAAGATGGGAACATTAATGCTTCCTCCAAAACTGCCCGGATTATTACTATTGTATTGAGGGTCCTGATCCTTGTCATACTGGTTACGTCTTTCGTGCTCCTTGCCACCATTACTCAGGAAGTAAACAAGCTCAGGCTACAAAAAAAGCAGGTGCCTCTGCTGGCCTAAATGTAATGCGTAATCATCAGTGAGCCGACTGCTGCAGCGATTGCTTATGGACTTGGCAAGAAGTCTGGCTGGTATATATAGGAAAAGAAATGTGATGATATTTAAATTGGGTTGTGGTACTTTGGCCGTTTCACTACTAACCATAGTGTATAGCGTTTGTGAAGTAAAGGTCACTGCTTTAGACATACTCATCTCCGATGTGAAGGCTTTGATAAGAAAATAGTGAATAATTGTGCTGAACAAACAAAAGGAAATATAAAGTCGACATTAGTGGAAAATGCTTGTGGGAAGGCAAAGAGGAGGCTTTGATATATGCTTGAGACTGACATTGACATTGTTGGAGGGGAAGAAGCTGTGGAAGGGCATTTATCCAGATGAAGCTGTGGCGTATGGTTCAGCTGTTCAAGCTGCCATGTTGAGTGAGAATAATTAAAATGGGAAGCTTCAAGACTTTCCACTCTTGGATGTCATCCCTCTATTACTTGGGGTGGAGACAACTCAGACAAGGTGGGAAACTGGTTCTGACGATAAACATTTCATGCTAGTTGTGATCCCAAGAAACACCAGAGTTCCGATAAAAGAGAACGTTACTTTGTTTACTTCGGTTGACAACCAAGCTGTGGCCAGATTTTCAATTTATGAGGGCGAGAGTTCATCAACCTTAAATAATTACTTTTTTGGGTGGATTTCACATCCATGACATTCCTCCTGCTCCTGCCAGAGCTACTAAATTCAAACTTTGCTTTGATATTGATGAAAATGGTGTCCCTGAGTGTCTCTGCGGAGGACATGTCCACCGGCCAAAAGAAGGTGATTACATTCAACTGTGACAGAATAGCTTGTGTAAGAAAAGTTCATTTCTAATTTTTTCTATGGTCGAGCTTCTTACTCATGCTCTGGTGATCTCATCCAACCTCTCTGTTACTCCGTTATGACAGAGCCGTCGGAACAATAACAGAAAGTATGAGAATAATAAAATAATTCTAATGATGATAATCATAAAGAAATCACAATGCTAATTGTGTACAAGATTAATGTAAACAACTAAAAAGAAAGTAATAATGACTACAAACTTGGAGATTGAGGCTTGCACAAATGCGATGCCCTAAAGACAAAATTTCGCTCTTGTGCTTGTAGTTCAGTAGGCATCCGTCTCCTAGGATTCAAAAATCTATAATACGAAGTCGAAGCACTGCAATTTTTAGACTCTCAAGACACGATTGGAATTTGGCAAAGAAAGAATGAGAAAAACAGAATCCGGAAACTCCTCCTGATGCATATCTCACAGCTATACCGACTTGGGTTTATATAAAACTAAGACACTGATTGACGAAGAGATGAAAACATACATCTATTAGACGACACCATTTACTAAGGAAATGCACTTATCTGTGTAGAGTAATCTTTTCAATTTGAAAAGGTCCATACACAATGTATTGCCACTTTGTATAAGACGGCACCAATTGGATAACATATCCATTTGATACAAACGGTTAAGAATTTTTCATTAGAAAAAGAGCTTCTCATCCATCCTCCTGATTTCAACTTGGAAATTGCAACTTCATGCTATGTTGTTTGTGTAACATATGAACTAGTAAATATATATGTGACTGGGCATAAAACCACAGTTGTTCTACCATTTCTCAGCTGGCAGGTGATAATGTTCCTCTGCACGCTCCGATAAAGCTTATTTTTCTGTCTACCAATTTTCCAAAGCTGCTTTAAAAAGTCATCGAATCAGAAGAATTCTCGGAGGAGTACGTAACTACTGAGAGCTGTGCTAGGTTTCTATGTGCAACAGTGCAAGTCCACTTCCGCTTTCTGTATGTGTAACTAATTTGCCGTTTTGTTTTCTGTTCATAGTTCAGTACACAAATAAATGTTAAACTCTGGATACTAGCTATCATTTGTCGCAGTTTTGTAGAACTAAATAAAGTTGTAAAGTTTTCTCATATGAAAAGAAGGTAAAGTTATAAGGTAGCAAAGGTAGTAAAGAAGGTAAAGTTGTAAATGTAGTAAAGACAAAGTGACGTAACACGAAGTTGAAGAAATACAAGTGTAATTCTTTGAAGAATCAATAGTCTGGAATCCACCAAATTGAATAGAAATACTAAGGGCCTGTTTGGTATTCTACTTGAATCTAACTTTTTTAACTCAAAAACAATTTTCAAGTTTTAGGTCTTAAAAACTTGTTTGGTATAACTATTTAAAAAAACTGAATTCAAAACTAACTCAAAAATATAATCTATTATCTAAAAACATAAAAAATGAGTTTTTAGAATTTTTAAATTTAAACTTACTCCTTTCTTTTCACTCCCTCCTCCCCACATTCCAAATCTATCTCTCTCTTTTCTTTTTTCTCCTCTTTTCTTTTTTTCACCTTTTTCGTCTCTCTTCCAATCTGCTGTTTTCATTCTCTCAATTCTTTCTCCCACTCTTCTTTCTCTTTATCTCATCTGATCCTCTCTCTTCTTTCCCTTTCCTTCAATCATCTCTTACTTTCTTTCCTCCTCTCTCATCTTTCTCCCTCTCATAATACTCCCTCTTTTTAGATCTCTTTTGTCTAGTTTAAGTCGTAAGATTTTTAATGTGCTTGTATTACGGGGGTGGTACACCACGTCATTATATATGTGGAGACATTTGAAAAATAAAATGTCTCTCCACATAAATGATAACATGTAATGTACCACCCTGCATT